ATTTATAATATAACCCTGAGGGTGATTAGCAGAATCCTTATCCGATGTATAATTTTTTTATTAATTAATTTTGGCCGAGATTATTTTATCTATAAACTTGGTTGATTGGTTAAACAACTCGGACTAAACAAAAATCTACTTGGAATTTTCATTTCCATCCATTTCTTTTAGACTCTGACCTAAGATCAACTTATTACCTGCAATGTCTATAACATATCTCTCAAAGCATCTACTTGGATTTTTTGTCCATTTTTATTATATTTGTTTTAAATATTGCCTTTACTTTTAATGGAAAAATATTTCATTTTTATTTCGGTTAACAAATATTTTAATGATTTTAAATTAATTAATATTTGAATAGCTGATTTTTTTAATGAAACTTATACATCAAGGAATGGGAAAAGCATAGATATGCGATTTTTAAATCATTTCAAAAAATTTCTGATAATTGGTGGATTGTTAATTGAAAGAAAGTAAGATTTTAAGGCTTCATACATATTAAGAAATCAGATAAGGAAATAAAAAATTCATCATATTTTTATGATAATAAGTGATTTATTATCAAGCTCAACGAATTAAGAAAAGTGAATGATAGGGATGCATAAAAAAAATTTTTTTTATGAGGACAAATTAAAGTAAAATTAAAATAGGTACAGTACATCTTTTTGTGGATTTATCGTTATTCTTAAAAAATTTTACCCATTTCTTCAATGCTTTTAGACCATTTATTTTGGAGTATTCTGGAGAATAGAAAAAAAATAGGGGATATAAAACCAAAGATATCAATATCTTTTCCTTATCTTTCTTTCGGAAACTATTTTTGTCGTACTTTTCGTGACATCATATATGTTTGTAAAAATCATAATAAATTTTTGTAAAAATCACAAATTACGATAGTTCAAATTTTGCTAAAATTATTTGTCTTACAAACATTTTCCAAATTTGATATAAAAAATTTGTAATAGTTAAATATTTCAAAATATTTTTAGCATATAGATGGACGATTTAAGATCATTTTAGGAAATTAATATATACAAATGACTTAAATTTTAAAATGGGATGACTGATCAACTTCCCCAGTTTTTTCTTTTCCAATACCAATCCCCTAAAACGTTTCAAATGGTATACCACTATTTCTAATACCAAACAATTTAAACTAAATTCAAGTTAAAAAATAATAATAGCAATATTAATTTATTCAAGACACTAGGGCCATGGAACATTTTTCTAATATCAAAAACATTTTATTAGGCACAAAACAAAGTTCGTAAAATTTTTCAAATTTTTACTTATCTCGTGGATTAAAATAGAATGATAGCGACAACTTATTACTAGACCCAAATTTACTATCTCAAAATATATTTTTTTATTTCTAAATTTTAACGCAAGGAATTATAAAAAATAATGTCAATGGAAATCTCTCTTTGAAATCAAAGGTTCTAAAAAAAATTTATAGTATCAAAAACTTAAACTAGTCTCATAACAAAGTTTTTAAAAATATTTATAATTTAACTTTCCTCGTGGAATGAATTGGAATAGCAGTAAGGATATAATACTATATGCTCAAAACATAAATATATAATTTTATTTTTACATTTTACGCGGGGGTTAAAAAATATTCGCACTAGAAATTTCTTTGTGAACTCAAATGTTTTAGAACATCTTTATAGTAACAAAAACATTTAACTAGGCATAAAATAAATTCTCGTGATAATTTATTTTTTTCTCGTGGGGTACAATATAATGGCATGACCAATTTATTATTAGAGTCAAAGGTTTAACATTTTTTAGTATCAAAAACTTTTAACTAATCTTTAGTGTTGTTAAACGACTCGATTTGAGCCGATTTTTAGAAACGGCTAACTAAAAATTTTAGCCGGAAAAATATTGCCTAAGCCTCGAGATCTCGTTAATAGGTGTTCAAACCTTTGTGCAATCTATGGGCAAAATCTTAAGATTTGCATAATGTTTTTCTGGATAAAATATTGAGTTAGCCGTTCTTAAAAATCGGCTCAATACGAGCTCTTTAACAACACTACTAATCTTAAAACATAATTTTTAAAAAAATTTGTAATTAATTTTTCCTCGTGGAGTAAAATAATATGCTAGTGCCAATTTATTACTAGACCCAGAAGTTTTGAACATCAATTTACTATAAAATACTTAAGTAGGCTTAAATCAAAATTTAAATTTTTTTCATCGTTGGGTAATATATAATGGCAGTGCCAATTTATTACTAGACCCAAAAGTTTAAGAACCTCTTTCTATTATCAAAAACTTTTAACTAAAAACTTAAAGCAAAATTTTAATAAATTATCGTATTTTTTTTCCTCGTGGACTAAAATATAATAACAGTGCTAATTTATTACAAAACACAAAAGTTTTTGAACACTTTTTTTAATATCATATACTTTAAACTAAGTTTAAGACAAAAATTTTTAAAAAATTAATAATTTAGTTCCTCGTGGAGTAGAATATAGTGGAAGTGCTAATTCATTATTAAACCCAAAGGTTCAATCTTTCTAATATCACAAACATTTAACTAGGTTTATAACAACGTCTTAAAAAAAATTCACAATTTTATTTTCCTCTTGGGTTAAAATATAACAGCAGTGCCAATTTACAAGATCCAAAGATTAAAGAACATCCTTCTAGTATCAAAAACTATTAACTAGGCTTAAAATAAATTTTTTTAAAATTTTCAGAATTTATCCTTGTGGAGTGAAATATAATTGCAGTGAAAATTTAATACTAGATCCAAAGGTTTTAGAGCATCTTCCTAATATCATAAACATTTATCTAGGTTTAAAACAACGTCTTATAAGTTTTTTCCTCGTGGAGTAAAATATAACAGCAGTGCCAATTTATTACAAGATCCAAAGATTAAAGAATATCCTTCTAGTATCAAAAGCTATTAACTAGGTTTAAAATAATTTTCAGAATTTATCCTTGTGGAGTGAAATATAATGGCAGTGAAAATTTAATACTAGATTCAAAGGTTTTAGAACATCTTCCTAATATCATAAACATTTAACTAGGTTTAAAACAATGTCTTATAAATTTTTCTCCCCGTGGAGTAAAATATTACAGCAGTGCCAATTTATTCAAAGACCCAAAGGTTTAAGAACATCAGTCTAGTATCAAAAATTTTTAACAAGATAAATTTTTAAAAAATTTTCATAATTTATTTTTTCCTTGTGGAGTAAAATATAATGGCAGTGCCAATTAATTACTAGACCCAAAGGATTTAGAATATCCTTCTAATGATAAACATTTAACTTCTTAAAACAACGCCTTAAAAAAATTCTTAAATTTTTTTCCTCGTGGAGTAAAATATAACAGCAGTGCCTATTTATTACAAGACCAAAAGGTTTTAAAATATCCTCCTAATATCATAAACATTTAACTAGGTTTAAAACAACGTCTTATTTTTTTCCTCGTGGAGTAAAATATAACAGCAGTGCCAACTATTTACATAATTCAAAGGTTTAAGAACATCTTTCTAGTATCAAAAATTTTAACTAGGCATAAGATAAATTTTTTAAAAATTTTCACATTTATATTTTCCTCATGGAGTAAAATATAACGGCAGTGCCTATTTATTACTAGAACCAAAGATTTTTGAACATCTTTCTAATATCAAAAACAATGAACCCGGATTAAAACCAACTAGTATAATTTTCTATATATTTTGTTGACCTAACAAATCGACCCAGTAAACCAACCCAGCAGGTCGAGCCAACCAACTCAGCAGGCCGACTCAGTAAGCCAACCCGGGTCGGTTCAACAGGCCCAATGGGTCGTGGTCGATTTTTCGACCCTGGCTCAGGGTTGGGCCAATTTTTACGATTTCGACTCGGGTTCTTGGTCGAAAAAAACCAACTAGCAACACTAAATTTTAATAAAAAAAATAAGCCTGGAACAAATATGAAATATATTTTTATTAGTTTATATAAAATATAATAAATTACTTGTATATACATTAATATAAAAGCATGGTAATAATTTATTCCAAACAAGTATAAGAAATTTATTTATAAAAAGTAAGTAGACATATAGTTTATATTCCTCTATTATATAGAATTAGTTATAAAATACTAGGTAAAATTTTACAGATATATTTGACAGTTAGAGAATATATTACAGTTAATATTTTAACAAATTTTTCTAATCAAGGCTCTTGATAATAAATATAGCAAAAATTTGCATTCAATTATTTAACGCCATATATTTATTTTAAATAAAAAATGATATTAAAAATTAATCTTTATATTATTCATCCCACAATGTCTTTAAAAGATATTTTCTTATGTCCTTATCAATATTTTATAGTTTTCTGTAAAATGTATAATTCGCTATATTGGTAAAATTACTTGATTGTCATATGATTATTGATAAAATTAGATATACTGTAAATCCACGACATATAATATTCCACTGTTTGTATTGTGCTTTAATTTATGCCTTATTTTAAATATTACAACTTCAATGTCCATGAGCTCAAATTTAAAAAAAACAAAGGTAAAAAATATAAAATCAGATTAAATTCTGATAAAGATAATAAAAAAATTTATGAGGATCTGAATGAAGATTCTTGTTAAAATAATCTAATAAGATGAAAATTAAATTCTTTAAATAATTTTTACAAATTCCTCCAATTAAAGTTTTTATTTATAATACAACCCTCCACCTGAGCCCGAACTTGTGTTTAGCACAGCTATGTCTTGAGCATTAAGCACTCTTATTTATCTTATCAAAATTTTGTAAATCAATTATTAGAAAAAGAACTTATCTTATAATATATTATTTTTGAATAATTTCATTTTTGTTATCCATGGACAAAATAAATTAAAAAAATGAATATTTTTGAATAGCCAGTAACGCGTTCCTTTTTCAAATGTAACGGGTTCTTTTTGAAGTAACATTTACAACACATAAATAATATTTTTAGATCTTGGCTAGAGCAAAATTTTTCAAATTTATTATGGCCTTAGGAATTTTTTTTTAATATTAAAATATGGGCCAGGCCTTCAATTTTTTTTAATGTGGCCTAGGCTGGGCCTGATCAAAAAATCCCATGAAAGTCTTTGGTATATATATATATATATATATAGTGGATCAAATTTTAAGGATTGTTTTATTATATAGATAAGATATATAACATAATATTTAAATTTGTAAATAATAGTAAGTATTTCACATGGTTTAATATTTTGGGGTGCGTAGCTTTTTACCTTCAGTTGAAAACGGTTGAAATGATTTATTTTGACTGTTCTATAAGATAACATGTTGTATAGAAAATATTATATTTAAGTACCGTTTCCTTATTTTCCGTTTTTTTAAAGACACCTCTTGAGAATACTAACTTATTGATGTTAAAATCATAATCGGGAATCCCTCTTTACGTAAAAACTATTATATTGTTAATATAAATTCTACCTTTTGACTATGTTATTTGATTTAAACATTTCAATTTTATGATTTTTTCCATCAATTCTGCTTCCTTGTCCACTAAATGCCTTTGATATGGGTAAAATATCTTACAAAATAAAATTCAACTGTTATTTACCGAAAATTTCAAATCTTCGATCTATAAAAAATATAGTATATAACCATTTTATAAAAAAAAATTATTATAAATAAAAAAATATATGCAGTAAAACTTTGATATAATGACCATCAGTATTGATTTTTTTATTAAAGTAAACAAAAAATAAGTCCCCAGGAGGGTTCAGTATAAACAAGGTTTTATTGTATTTATTAACAAAATAAATTTTACATTTTGATCGATTTCAGTTAACTCTTCAATTATTTCATCTTCTGGTAGTTCTTCCTCTTTATATCCAACAGGGGCTGCAAATTCAACCTAACATAAAAAAAATATTTAAATTGTGATTTATGGAAAACCAAAATTAATTTAAAAAATAAAAATTTTAAGTAGAAATCAGCCCAGCCCTAATATAGCCTGAAGAAATATTTAAACTTTCCCAGCTCCAAATTTTCTAGCCTAGCCTGACCCCCAAGCTTCGGACCATACAAATCTTGTATGTATTTATGTGTTATATTAGTAAAGTGTTTAAGTTAAAAAAAATATGGACAGAAAAATAAGGTATAAATAGGTTTATTTCACCAAAAAATATGAGAAACCTATATTAAAAATGTGTAACAGAACAATAGTCTTACTAAAAAAACCTATATCCAATCTTGATATAAAAATGGGTCAAAGGTAGGGCCCTGCAAATTATATCTTTTTTAGACTAACCTAGAATTTTCATTTAAAAAAATATAAATTTAACTAGTTGTCTACGTTAATCAGAAAAAGAACGTCGTAGATAAATATATATTTTTTTAGCAATGGTGATTGTTTAATTTCTAAGATTGTTTATCTCTCAGTATTTTGCTTACTGAACACCCTTTCAATAGATGCTGAGGATGTGAGAGTTGTATTATATTTTATAAACAGGGATTTAAGGTTTTTTATTTTTAAGGTTCATCAGACACATTGAATGAGTCGCCATTAATTCCCTCCATAGATGCCTTACTTTTATCAATATCCTACTACTTCATAAAAAAACCAAATATTGTTTCTTTTTTCAGGCTTTTAAGGTAATAATGAAGATATAATATATATTTTAATACTGTTCTAGAATATAGATGAAATTCAATAGGCCACCAAAAAACAGTGGAAAAAGGACTAGATGAGCTACCATACAATTTGGTTTGAAATTCGATTTTATATTTGTCCTTTTATTTATTATATTTAAGCCACGCACAGTTCTAGTTTCACTCATTTGGGGGAGGGAGGCAGATTTTTTGGGAAGGGGGAGAGGTGGTGGAGGAGATAGTTAAAAAAATATCAACATCAGAACAAATATTTAAGTACCGCATAAAAATATACAATGATCAAACATGTTTATAAAATTAGATAAAAGAAAATAGCTGGAAAGAAAAAAGCTGATTTAATGATTTTACAAATATTATATAATGTTGATATAGTTTAATTGTGCTTGTATAATACTTGTTAAGGATTCAATTATAAAATATATGTATTATAACTATATTACAATTGGTATTATGTCAATGATTGAGCAATGTAAAACTAACAAAAATAAAGCATTCACAATATAAATTTGGTTGAGATGTGTATTTTTAAGTACCTAGAAAACATTTCCAAAATTAATCAGTTATGTTTTTTCCATGTCCTAATAATACCAATTTACTTTTTCTTATATCACTACTAAAACGTTTATCTGATTTAATAATTCTCTTCAATGGTGAAAAGTTAACTCACAACTCGATTGGATGAATCTAAACTGATATAGAATATTTGAAAAACATTTTTTATGGGTATAGAAGTTTAACAAAATTTGATGTAACATAATCTTTATAATTTACTAAACTTTTAACAAATAATTTATAACCATTCTATATTTCAATTACTAATCTCTCTTCAGTAATATTGGTTGCCAAAAAAAATTTTTTATACCCAGAAAATTAAAATGGCTATCTTAATTTAAATTTGCTAATTTGTTTATACAAAAAAATTGTAAAAATCTTTTAGTCTTATGATCCTCTTTTTCTATGTATTATGCAATTATATTATTTCTTAACACCCTCCAGTTGGTAAAAGCAATTTTGGTATAGATTTTTTCACTATTTAAGTTATAGATCTTACAAGAAAGGCAAAAAACTAACTTTAAAGAAAATCTTCTTCTATTATTAGTGAGTCTTTTACCAGTATTGTTATTAAAAAGCCATGTAGGTTAAAAACGACCCAATTAAGATTTTAGCCAAAATAATATTATATAAGCCTCGTCATTTGGCAAATAGATGTCCAAAACCTTCTACCCTCTATGAGCAAAATCTCCAGACTTATTAATATTATTTTGGTTATAATTATGATTGGGCCCTTTTTTAAAATAGACACAAATCGGGGTTTTTAACATCACTAAATATTGAACTATTTGGTGATACCTGATTAAAATTAGTTGTAAAATATTTTCAATAAGAATAAGTTAAAATTTTAAACTATCTATTTTGTTTTTGCTGCTCAGGCTCATTTTCCTTATTCTAAATCTTAGCATCTTGATCATTATCATTTTTTCACTTAAATAACTACAGTTACATTTTCTCCTTAATCATTACAATATTAGGTGTGTTGGCACTATTAAGTATTTCAGCAGACATGAATAAATAGTTATTTTAAAACCGATAGTGGTTTGAACAACAGCTATTTCTCTCCCATTACATTCTTATTTTTAAAAATTTTTGGAGGGTTATTTTTTGGGGGGAGGTTGAGGTTTGGAGCTAAAAAATGTTTAAAATATAATAATAAAATAATTTATGGGTAACGTAAAAAATAATATTACTTTTTTCAAATAATAATTGTTGTATTTATAACTTTTTTACATATTTTTTATATGTACTAGTATTTTAATTAAATAATTTCTTTTAACAGATATATTAATTTCCAATGTTTGATTTGTGGATTTTTTATAGTTTAGTTTATTTTAAAAAAATAAAAAGATGAAAATTAATTATAGGTAGACCTGTGCGCTGCCGGTATTCTTATTCACGCCGGAAAAGCCGCCGATTGAGATCATTGGCGCGAGCCGGCTCCCGCCGATTTTTATTATGGCGGCTGCGTGACGTGTGTAATTTTTAGAAAGCATATTAATTATATTTATATATTAAATTATATTATTTTAATTTGAATACTAACATTAATAAAATTAAAATATGAATTGTATTCTTTTGCTATATATAATAGACTAGTGTATATCATTTACATTCATTCATAATCATATTTTATTTCCACAAACAATTCATATTAATTATTTTTATGAACTTGCACGTTTTAAACCACCCTATATACAATTATGAAATAACAATCTCTACTAATCATAAATCAAGTTGGTACTTTGAATGAAAATAAGAAAAGCACAATAATGATTGATTATATTTATTGTGAACCTTGCTTAAAATTGGCGAAAAAAGATGAGGAAGATTCGAATAAACATAATTCATTTTCACAGTAATTTATTTTTATTTTAGACTTATATTTATATTATATTTTATATTTTAGTTATGAAATAAAATGTTTTAGTAAAAATTTAAGTACAAGTAATCTATCTCGGCACTTAATTAATTATCACAAACTAACAGAAAACTGAATAATAATAAATCCATTCAAAGTCTAAAAATGCTTTTAAAGCCAACACCAAGATGCAGCAACAATATCAAAGATAAAAATGGGATCTTAGGTTAGTATTATTGTTTATTATTATTCATTTAAAAAATTTTAACTAGTTTGTTAAATTAATTTTATTAAACTTTATTTTGAAAGTTCAAAACAACTAAATTTTTAGTTTATTTAATGCCAGCTCTATTTTGAGATCTTTATAATGTATAAACTTAATATATAATTTATTAAATTAATTATGTAAAACTCATCATTTGTTTCATTCCAACTTAATTATTATATTTTTTAAATGTCTTTTTAATGTGTAAACATAATATATAATTTATTAAATTAATTATGTAAAACTTTATTTTGAAAGTTAAAAATAAATCAAATTTATAATTTGTTTTTAAATATCTTTTAAAGTATAAACAATATATATAATTTATTTATGTAAAGGTTTATTTTGAAAGTTAAAACTAAATCTAATTTATTATTTGTTTCATTCCAGCTCTAATTATTTTGATGTTTTTAAATATCTTTTTAATGTTTAAAATAAATATGAAATTTAGTAGGACGAAATTATGTTTTGATGTGCTGCTTAGATTAAATGCCATTTGATTCTATAAACAATAAAGGAATGACAGATTTTCTAAAGGTTTAAATTTATATAAAATGATTATTAAAAAATAAATTGCCCAAAAAATAGAAATATAAGATAATTGATTCCTCGTCAGAATTTCCAAATAGGACAACCATTAGTCGGGGTGCACTAGACGATGTTTATTTATCTATAGAGGCGCATGTTTTGATTGATTGGACCAAAATTTTGTTCTATCACTTTTGAATTATGGACCGATCATTTCAAGCGTCGATATTATATCACATTTTCATCATTTAGATGAAAATTTTGATTTAAAATATTTTACCCTAGCAACTAGAAATGTGACTCAATAGCATACTGGGGAAACAATATTATCTGAGATTGATAGTATTGAAGAGGAGTTCCATTTAAAAGCCAAAATAATATAAATGGTAACTGATGCTGGGGCAATGTCAAAAGAAGCGTCAGATTAGGGGATTATGAGCATCATTTATGTTTAGGGCATGGACTTCATAATTTGGTTACAGTTGATGGCATAAAAAAGTTACCAAAATTGATATTCTCATTAGAAAAAATAGAGAAATTATTTCAGCTCTCAGATATCGAGTAGCTGATTTGGAATGTGAAAATGAGGCTGAACATCGTGAATGTCTGCAGTCAATTTATGAGACAGGTAATATCTTGGATATTGATGATTCTGATCCATACCTTGATGACCATTTTGATTGTCTGATGAATCGGATAATAGAAATGGCATTGCATTAACCAATCTAATTAATGCAAAAACTTTAAAATTAAATTGCCCTACCCGCTGGCATAGCATATTAATTATGCTAGAAAGTGTTCACAGTGTAAACAAAATTCCTATAAATAATGTTCTAAATAAAATAGGAAAACATTCTTTAAAACTCTTTAATAATGAATGGGATATGATTGATGAGCTTTACACAGTATTAAATCCATTCCGCGAGTCAATGGAATTTCCTTCCTCCCAAAAAGGATCTACAATAAACTTAGGGTTATTATTTCGCAGTGAAATAGAAGCTCATATACAAATCAATAGATCTGATTGCTCAGATAT